GCGACCCAGGGAGCGGCCCGCCGCCCGCGGGGAGGCTCTGCTGCGGGGAGCAGTGGGGGAGGCGGCTGGCACAGGCGCCGGGCTCCGCCGCCCGCCCCCCGGCACCGCCGTCGTCTGCCCAGCGCTGGCGGCCCCGGGAGATGGTGACACATGAAGCGTGCGGGAAGGACCATGGTTGAGAGGACCAGCAAGTTCTTGCTGATCGTGGCCGTCTCGGTGTGCTTCATGCTTATCCTATACCAGTACGTGGGGCCGGGGCTGAGCCTGGGTTCCCCCAGCGGCCGCTCCTACTCGGAGGAGCTGGACCTCTTCCCCACGCCGGACCCGCACTACGTGAAGAAGTACTACTTCCCCGTGCGGGAGCTGGAGCGGGAGCTTGCCTTCGACATGAAGGGCGAGGACGTGATCGTCTTCCTGCACATCCAGAAGACCGGCGGCACCACCTTCGGCCGCCACCTGGTGCAAAACGTGCGGCTGGAGGTGCCCTGCGACTGCCGGCCCGGGCAGAAGAAGTGCACCTGCTACCGCCCCAACCGCCGGGAGACCTGGCTCTTCTCCCGCTTCTCCACGGGCTGGAGCTGCGGGCTGCACGCCGACTGGACCGAGCTCACCAACTGCGTGCCCGGAGTGCTGGACCGCCGGGAGAGCGCTACCGCCAAGACGCCCAGGTACCGGCCCACCACCCTCTCCCGCTTCCCCGCTGCTCCTCGGGCCGCGCTCCCCTCTGACCGCCGGCGCTCGCCCGACTCCGTCCAGTGTCGAGCCCCCCTCCCGGTGCGTTGCAGCATGCTGCTAACGTGCTGTGCCCCAACCTGCCCTGAACCTTTCCTCAGCCGGTTCACCTGTCCTCCCCTCCCGTCCTCCAGGCTGTGCCCTGCACCTTCCTTCTGCATTCCCAGGCAAATAGACTGCTCTTTCCCTCCCATCTACCTAGTACACTGCACCCGCTCAGTCCGTGGTCTTCTGCTCTAGCAGCCTCTGTGGACCCCTTAGCAAGCGTATGTATTTGAGCCACTTACACTCTTTTGTAAACATTTAGTCTTTATCTCGGACCTCACTTGCCACCTTTTAGTACCCATTATAACATACCCTAGGCTGAAGCTTGCCTTTGTAATCAGCTTTGCTCTGACCTGTGCACCCGTTTGCCTCCAGTTGAAATTGTTCCCCAGTGCAACTGAGGAGAGGCACATGAACCCACCAGTCCTCGTGCTTACCTCCTTGTTTTACCCCCTTAGTCTGCCTGATGGTTTTTTACACACTGCAGAAAACGTCCCTTAAACATCCTTTCTACGTTCCTTACTGTTTATCTTGATGGTAGACCTGAGGTGAAATCTTCTGGGGAAAGGAGCTGCCTTGTACGTGTTCCTTGTGTCTCCCTCATCTGTGCACCAGGAGAGAGGGAAAGCCATCCTAAAGCACCCCTCAGTGCATCCCCGTTGAACACCCAGTGTATTTCTGCCCTCTTATCCCATATTTCTCTACCTTGGTCTCTTTATAAATTATAAATTTCAGAGGAATTTTCTGTTTGAAGTACTCTGATAAAGACAGCAGCTTATATTAAGATCTCCAAAGATAATGTTCTTTTAGCTCAGTATACCTTTGTGTCTTTCATTTCAAATGACAGGTTTTTTTAATTGATCACTTTTTTTTAACACCATGCACACCTTCCTTGACATATCAGTGTTTTTATTACGACACTTTGTAATCTGTTTGCCTGAAAATTTTATTTTTAAAGGTGTCCAAGCTCTTATGCTAACATTTGCTTATGCCATATGCTTTATTTATGGGCATATTGTTAATACCATATGTAATCCCTTTAGTGAAAGGTGGCCTTTAAGAAAGTATGTTTTAGCATCATAACTGTTTTCCTCTGCATTTTTTAAAAGCAGTTTTTAATAATTTTTCTTTCATTGGAGCTGTGTGCGATTGCCGGGGTTCTTTATTGTCTCTGTCATGATTGCTGCTGTTTTCAACCCATTTCAGCATTAGTCATCCAACTACTATGCTCAGATTGCTGTCATGCTGCCTGACCCAGGAGCAGCAAACTCAAGTATGTATCTAAAGGGCTGAGTATTCAGGCTTTCCTGTGGTCTCTTATTTTACTAATAAGGTGCTTGAAAATACCTATAAGTGAAATATCCTCAGCCCATCTAGTTGCTGTTGAGGTTTTAGTGAAGCATTGTAACGAAAAATGCACGAAGTTCAAATCTGATTCAAAAAAGAGACAAAATATTACCCGTTTTGTGAACCTTGGCACTTGGCTAGCAAACCATTAACCTTATATAAAAACTGGTGTGGTTTTATGAATCATCTCAGAGCCTTGTGTGTTTCCGTTGGCTATTTTGTACTAAAACCTGCTATCTGTTCAGTATTTAACAGTCTGATCCTATTTAGCAGGTTTTTTTGTATAGGTACCTGAGAACAGGGCACTTCGGGTTGTGAAACAGCAATTAAATTCCTTACTGCAACTCATAGGAAGTTGAGAACCAGAAGCCTATTGCCTCATCTCAAACGCTTGTGAATAAAATTTTCTTTGTCATTTGTTTTGCAACATCAGGAACTGTATGCTTCTATATGTTTCTTAACTGTCTTGATTTTTTTGGATGTGCCAGAAAAATAATTGATCCTGTCCCATTCCCTCATGTCTCTGCGTATCCAGAAGTAGTTCTGCTTAATGTGCTCTCTTTATTTCCCTTAAATATAAATTAGAACTTTGTTTTCAGCAGTGTAAGAACTATGATGTGGAAGTTTTAGGTAACCTAAGATTTATCACCTTGGTCTGTTAAACAAAAACCAGAATTTACTGTTCACTGTATCCTGGGGATGGTTTTGGTGCAATGAACAGCTGCTGATTATTTTAATAATACTGTCCTAGGATACTCCTCTGTTGTACTGCAGTCCAGTTTAGTAGGCACCTTCTCCAATCTATTATTTATTTCATGTCTAAGAAAATTAGGAATAAGAGACAGGCAATGCTTGTTTAAAATAAAAATTTGATGGATTTTCTTTGTTAGAAAAAGGATAGTCTTGTATTATGTCCGTTACACTAAGAGCAATGTAAGTTTATTTCTCCATTGTGACATTGGATCTCTTATGTTGAAACAGGACATGTTTTTAGATAAGGCATATGCTAGACATGCTACTGTTTTAGAGTGGAACTGAACTATGAAATTATCTATCTTTCTCTTTCAAAAGGAAAAAAAAAGGAAAAGGAGCAGCAAACCACCGTTGTGGCAGGGTTCACTCAGATTCTAGTATTATCCACTCTGGGTTTTGGAGTACAGTCTTCAAATTCAGCTTTTAAAGCTAAGGTACTGGCCTCTGCATTTGCTACTTAATGTGAAGTTTAAACCTTTGTTCTTCCAACTATATGTTTATCCCCCAAAACAAAACAGCTGACTTGTGATTACAAATAAATCTGCCTTCTAGTGAACATTGAAAAGCATGAAGGTCGTTCACGATTGCCCACATGTACAAATCACGAGCTTAAAGCTGTTAATTTTGTAAGGAATGCGGTTCTGTCACTGCACAGTGCCCTATTGCACTACATTCCATAACCTGTGCATGGTACATAAATTTACAATGCAATTGCTCTTTTTATTGTTCTGCTGTTCTGTGCTAGACTTAATTGTTAGGAGCCCTAGATTGCCAAAGACTGCTTTTTTTTTTTTTTTTCTTTCGTTCTGTCTCTCTTTTGCATTGATAGAGTAAGCAGTTGGAGATGGGTGTTTTAGCTTTAATGGGTCTGCACTCTTTAAAACCAAAAAAACCCCCAAACAGCAAACTACTGATTCTCATCCCTTCCCCCCCCCCCCCCCCCCCCCCCCACCCCCCCTCCTTCTTTTTTTATCTTTGTCTCAAGCTGCA